AGGGTCGTAGTCCGCCAACTGGTTATTCTTTCTGGTCATGCGAAAGTAGTGTTGGGCAAGATAGGCACACATGACGGCACCTTTAAGGTTGATGTCAAGGAGTGATAGCGACGGTTCAGGAGGTGGTGAGTTCTCTTGTGTTTGGTAGAAGTCCCTTGGATCAGTGATGCCGGCGTTGGCGAAGACGAATTCGAGTCTCGAATGGGATCTCATAGTTCCGTCAAAGGCGTTCCTTATGGAGGCATAGTCTTGGACATCTGCTTCGTAGAATATCGCGCCTATGTTCTCGGCTGCAGCAAGTCCTTTCTCCTTATCGACATCGATAATGCTCACGTGCCACCCTTGAGATCTGAGCATAGAGGCTACTGCATACCCAATTCCCGATCCTATTACCGGAATTAGCAGTTGCACATTTATTTAGGAGAGTAATGCTATGCATACCTCCACCTGTGATCAAAGCAACTTTCGGGGCTTGCGCCATGCAGACGATGTTATTTCGACTTAGGATTTCAAATAAACTGCCTAGGCAGGTAGATAGATACCCTACCTAATTGTTTCATTGGAGTTCTGAGTATTGATATCTGGGTACCCGAGCCCCTAGACTTGGGTCTTAGTAATCCCCGGCTGCTGCTTTGTAATCTCGACTACATTTGTACAGTAGAAAGCGCACAGTGCTATGGTATCTCGGTAGTGAATAAAAGTGGCTTATCCGACTTTTGTTTTGGTGTAATATCGAAATGCGATCCCTTCGTGGAGTCCCAATACACTTAATCTCGTATAGCATCTGTTTCTCAATTCCTCGTGGTTTCGGATGTCGGGGTTCGCTAACGTTGGTGATAGGCGTTAGACGGCGAAAATCCCTTTTGGCACTGTATCTCCGTATTTTGCTGTACAGTGAGGCTTCTCTGAGAAAGCAATCCTTCCCCCTATTCTACCTATGGTGATTATGTCATCACATAGGTACCTACCCACAGAAGACATTCAGAATTGGCACCAGAAATAGCAACGCAAACGCAAACAATCACGATTAGCTTAAACTTTTACATCCTAGATCTGAGCTGGAATCGCTAGGGGGCAAGTCGTATGGTATGATCAAACACTTGATGTATTATACTAGTACCGTCTCTAGAAGTCCTGGTGCCATCCACGCCATCGCGGAGGCTTGAGCTTAAACTTGAATTTTTGCGGGCTTGCTGCCACGACGACGAACCATTTACGTAAAGATACTTACAGTATAGCAGGCCCTGACTGCAGCCTGCAGAGGTCAGCACTAGATCGATGCCGACACGTTACATTGTAGGCGATGAACTGGTAGGCAACATTAGATCTTGGCGTCATCCATGCACAAACCATAAGAAAGATGCGCAGAGCTTATGGCACATCGATAACAACAACGCTCATGTTAAATCTGGTTCGCCGGCCCCTGAATAATCAAGATCTTGACTACGGACGAACTGATGGTAGCCAATTGAGACATGGGTACCTAGCCTGTAGGTATGCATATAAGCAAGCCATCCCACATTGTCCGGCCAATAATGACTGAACACGCCACCTACCTACATATTTTATGGTAAGTCGCTCATGCATGGCCTTAAATGACCCTCGATTTTAATTATAATGTACTCCCATCAATGTCTTTTGATCAAGGTCGTGATTAAAGGCTACATAGAAGAAGTACCTTTTGGCCATGGCGATGATCAAAAGAGTTGTTCCTTATGCGAATTGCTCTACCCTCTGCAAGGTAATTGGATAATTGTAGACGATGGCTAAGAAGGAAACCAATTATGCGTAATGTCTTAGTTGTCTACTTAATTGCCTTATATCATAGACCCATTTACTTAGTGCTGTTGAGAGCGACGATGCTTCCTAAGGAGTCGCCAAGTTTCAAACCATACCTGTACAACTTAAACCATACTAACTATGAGAGACTGGAATCGAAAACCGCCCCAATGCATTTTGTGGTACTGTGTAAGTGGAACAGTTGGCTACTAATTAGCAGCTTTTAATCCGATATTGTTACTGACTCCTTTTAGTGCATGTGTGGGTACGGGGGGATGTCCACAGAGAATAACCCTGAATGTGTAGATTGTAAACGCCATCCAAAATGCAAGAAGTGTCCTTTACAACGTGGTCTAGCAACGGAAAAAGACACCATTTTATACACAGAGAAGGAAGGCACTGATAAGCATGAGGCTCTGCGAAAGAATTCAAATCGTCATAAGCATGAAACTTCTTCACAAGTGACCCACCATGCTCCGGTCAGCAGAGCCGCATCTCTCATTCAGGGTAGTACCCCTTTGAGGCTCTCATCTCCCCAGCATACCCCAAGGAATATCTCTGAGCCCCCATACCTGATTCCTCTCAATCAGTCCAACTTCGGGCCAATCAGTGGATCTGAGGCGGAAATCAGCAGGTCGGGTGAGCGCACACCCCGCAACGTTGACCTACCTGAAGAGGCTATAGATGTAACTACCCCGAAAAGCGGATTCGACAATAATGCTGCCTTTGAAGATTTTCTCATTGGAAGAGTCGATTTCGATCCGTTCTTTTATGCCGAAACCAAGGGATTCACCGATATTTTCCATCACGACAGCAGTGCGGGAAGACAATCTTCTTTGCCCAGATCCCCGCCATATGGTGAAGAGACAGTCAATACTGACGATGTCGAATTCCAGTTCCAGGAGGTATCTTGCGATAATCAAAGGTTCACTATAGATCCTCAGAAAACATGGATTACCCCTCCTACGTATTCCAGCTCAACCTATGTCGCATCAACTCCCGGTAATCTCCAATACCCAACGCTACCCACTGATCCCATTGATAATTCACCTGCGGGAACTTTTCAACATGAGCACTCATTTTACTCACCTATGGTACAACCCTTGCAGGCATCTTATGAAGCACAGGATGTCTTATCTCCAGCGCACCCCGCAGAAATAGCCTCACCATTGGCTGTACCGGCGCCAAGGCATTTGGACTATGCAAGCAAGGAGTCCCAACAGCTCACGAAGAAGAGGAAGTTTTCGAGAAGAGAGCAGGGAGATGAAGAAATCGATAGAGCCATTCAAGCCTGCGAGCACTGCTTGCTGGCTCTTAAGCCTGATGAAGATAGACGTCTTGCGTGTCCTTTTTACAAGCGAAACCCTGGTCGATATTCACATTGCTTCCAGAAGGAGTTTAAAAACGTGAGCGCCCTGAGACAGCATCTAGACAAAGACCACAAGCTGGGAAAACACCACTGCAGCAATTGCTGGGATACTTTCCCGGACCAGAGTTCTCTCAAAGCCCATGCAGGATGCCAGCCGACGGGTGGTGTCCCTGTCAACCAATTGCCCAAGGTATCGAAGGCTCGAGGCGGTCCTGAATCAAAATGGTATTGGATTTGGAGGAAGCTCTTTGGAGAGGTAACCCCTGAGCCAAAGTGTCCTTATCCACATCCCATGCAGGATATGGCGGGCCACATCTTTAGTCACTTCGTACAATATGTCGCAGCGCAAGGGGCTGAAGTCGACAATGGAGTGAAGGGGCATATGCTGCAGTTTCTAGCATCCAATACCGATCTTTCGAATAGTGGACATGAACATCCCGGATACCCGGGCTGGCTAGGAACCTGAAATATATGAGACACAGACCTAGTTGATTCAAAGCAGCTTCTCATCCTTGTGAGGTAGGAAAGGAATCATGATGCGTTGGAATAGCTGTTTCGGTACGTACTTCCTCATCTAAGACACCTCCCTCTACACCGCTTCGCGAAGCAGACCAAGCCACAGCTTCGCTTGAACATGGCTCCATGCACTAAGAATCGAAGTGCATATATATTGGAAATAAAAAGAAATCAATGCATCGATCAGCTTACACGAATGTTGGAATAGCAGGCAGCCGATAGAGGTATGGGATCGAGGATCGTGGGAGCGGGGGAGGGGCACGAAGCAAGGAAGATACCGAAAATACTGACCGCTTTCTCAACACGTCATTCCCGTACAGCTGAGTCCGCTACGCGTAATCGATTCTCAGCTGCCTTACTGCTTGTATAAAAACTAGAAGCAGAAAACATTCTCTGTGTTCGAGTTCTTGCCAGCTTTCGCAGCAACACAGCATCGAACTTTGCACACCAGCATCTCGCCCAGTATGTCGGAATTCACATCTACCCGCGAAGGTTTCCAGCGTGCCATGGAATGGGCCCTGACAGGAAAACCTGACGAGGCGAAATCATACGCCGAAGCCACAACGGCACCAAACTTCTACCAGGTGGTAAACGGCAAGCGAAAAGAATACGACGAATACCTCCAGGGCATCGTCGAATGGCGGGGTAAGGTCAACGAGTACAAGCCCGTCGTGTGAGTCGCACCACCACCACTTCTTTGCCCCCTTCCCTCCTGTTAAAACTAACATGGCACTTCTCTCCGAAGCCATGAATTCCTCCGCGACGGCGACCAACTAGCTGCCCGCATGACCGGAACGATCAAGGTCGGTGGCGCGGATACGCAATTCGAGAGCTTCTTCATTGGAAAGGTGGACAAGGCCACTGGGAAGATGGAATGGCTGATTGAGCGCGCCGTCTGGGGCCCTGTAGGCGGAACACCTCAGCACGGTGCTACTATCTGATTAGCTAGATGCTAGAATAAATACACTTACCCCAGTATTGCTGGGGTGTTTCAATCTATGTACTGGTGATGACTACCTAGGTAGGTAACATGTAACTTTGCGTGAATGTGGTATGTGCAGGTGGTTTATCAGGGGAAAAAAGAAGGTCCAATTTCAATCTGAAATATTAACTTTATTGAGAAAGCATTCAGCGGACGACCCTTGTGGGGTGCTCTCCATTACTGGAGGTTAGCGCTTAATGCTAGGTCTTAGTGGGGGATCACTGGTATACTTCAGGGCACTAAGCGCTATTTGATCACTACCTAGTATTCTCTAAAGAAAACCGAAGCAAAAAGAAACCGGGCAATACTTGAATTCCAGATAACCTCTCTTGGAGAGCTAAACAAGAAAAATAATGGACGAGCAGGGAGTTGAACCCTGGACTTCTCGCATACTGCTATCGGAAAGATGCGAAGCGAGCACTCTACCACTGAGTTACACGCCCTACTAGGTAGCACCGGAGAATAAGCAGGACTCATTATCCTGATTGGTTAGAGATAAATTCGCAATTAGCAAAGATGTACCATTAATCTTAGACAGTTCATCCTCTAGGTTCGTTCTCTACCAGACTTGCCCTCCATTGCCATATGAAGGGGGTCATTATTACCAACAATTGATATATGCCTTGTCAAACTCCAACGTGTAAGTAGGGCACAAACAATTAAAAAAAGAATCTGAGAAAACGTCCAGCACAATTAATATTTCCTCTGATTGCAATTATTCATCATCTATTACACCATCTACCTCCTAGTGATCATGAAGCTAGGAGGATGCTTCAATATCTCCCTGCGCGTTTGCCTTCCCCTGCTTGCTCTTCATAGATATCCACTTGCAGCCCGCAATGATGAAAAAGGAGATGACTGGTGCTCCCGCTGGTATGTACTGTTTGCAGGGCGGAATAGTCAGCACAGGATTTTCGATGTGGTATGAAATCATGACTTACAAAGACTTGAGTGATGGACTTCCCATATGCGCGAATAACGGGGGATAGTTGCTCAGGGCTCACGAACGACGCAATGTTCGTCGCGCCCCCGTTGATGACATTTTCAATGACATCGGGGGGCACGACAGAGCTGAGATTGATCTCAATGCGTCTCTGGAACACGGTTTGGCCGATCGCATTGAAGATAGCACAGCTGGTAGAGATGACGGCTAGCAACGTAGATGCTCCAATTGGTACAAGGTCCTGTGGAAGTGATGCCTGCATTCCGATGTGCGAAATATTGGATACGAGCGAGTAACCGAGACCGCCGAATATCTGGTAGCCGATCCAGTGCCCACTCGAGATTTCCGGGTATAATGTGCTGAGGAGACCTCCGCCAAGGCAGACCAAAGCTTCTCCGAACAGGATGAAAGGGTTCCACCATCCGAGCTGCATGACGATACCACTTCCGATGAAAGCGGCGAGAACATCGGCAATGACGGTGGGGAAATAGTCAACGCCACTCTGCGTCGGCGAAGCCCCCAACACAGCCTGAAACCATATCGGCAACCAGTAGATAATAAGCTGGAAAGGTCCATTGACGAAGAAAGAAGCCGCACATAGAAGTCCTGGGTTCCGGTTAACAGTGAACAGTCGTGGCGGCACCAATGCCTGCTCCTTGCGGTAAAGCTGCCAAGGGATGAAAAGCGCCAATACAACACCGGAGCCGACAAATAGCCCGATGATGGTGGATGAGGACCATGCGTATGTTATTCCACCCCATTGCAGCCCGAGCAGAAGCATTGTAATAGACCCGGCGAACAGCACGAATCCTACCAGGTCCAGGCCTTCGAGCTTATTTCGAAGGGAAACCTTCTCTGTCGCGGCAGTCTTGAGGTGAACGAGGAAGAAGAAGATTACGGCACCAGCACCGCCAATGGGTAACTAATCGTCCCTTGTCAGCATGTGTTTGATCTAAGCATTCCGGTAGGATTGGATACGTACGTTGATATAGAAACACCATCGCCAAGTAACATGCTGCGTCAGGGCGCCGCCGATGACAGGGCCCACGATGCTGGCAACCGCGAAGACAGAACTCCAGGTCCCTGTCCATATGGGACGTTTATGCAACGGGATGATGGTGGTGAGAATTGTCAATCCGCCTGCGAATAAACCCGAGGCGCCAAGTCCGGCGATGGCGCGACCAACGATCAACGCATTGGAGTTAGGTGCTAATGCGCACACGAGACTACCGACTTCGAAAACGAACATGTATACCAGGTATACGAGTTTCTTGGGGAATAACGTGTACAGCTTGCCGGCAAGAGGCTGGCTCGAGCATCTAATGGTGAGAAATAGACGTTAGCAATACTCTGTTAAAAACCCCGAGGTAGAATAACTTACAATGCCAGCATGAAGGACGCGGCATACCAACCGACATCGAGGATAGAGTTGAACTCGGCTGTGATGACAGGGATTGCAGTTGCTATTAGATTGAAGTCCTGTACTCGGTGTTAGTGGTGCCGTTTGCTGATTGAAATTCTTCCACTTGGACTTACAAGACCGACTAAAAATGTGCAAAGACATAGCGAAATATGAATTAACAGGAGCTTCACGCCTTGGACTTCATTCTCGGGATCGATATCGTCGTTGATATCGTTCTCAGTCTCTGTGACGGCTTGTGTTGTCGGAGCCTCTTTCTTCTCCAAGGTTAAGTCCTCCTTCAAGGTCCCATCGGGGCTATCGGTAGCCATACTGTCACAACCTCAATAATCCAATCCGCCTTGGAAAAAAAAATAAAGTCGCAACAGTGATTGGGATATGGAGAAAGAAAAAGTAGAAAAAAGGAGACCACGGGAGTAAAGACAGGACGCGTTGAATTTACCAGTTGAAAGAACGTGGCGCATTTCATGTTATTTCAGTTACTACAGCTGCCTTTCAAGGGAGCATCACAACCAACACAAGTTGCTATGGTGGGGGCAACATGTGCATGGGCCATTTGCGCGAATGGGATAGGTATGGGAGCCGAAGCAAGGGATAATGCACAAAGAAACGACTAGCTGATGCTTAACTCCTGTTGCTTTGCTCCGAATTCGTAAGTTTTCCAATTAACTAGGATAATTCATCCTCTTAAAATTGATTCAAAGGGTGGAAAAAATATCAATTGGAGTCGACATAGGGGCACGTAATAGGGGGCCGCCTGCACAACCCCCCCCATTGTGCTACCTTAGGTAGTCGTAATGCTGACTTATCGAGACATTTGTCATCATAGCGAATGTTGGAGGTTCGGATATAAAGAAAGCAACACTATCTGATTCTTTAGCATTAAGGCAATGTTCCGAGCGAGTGGATGTAATTTGCCTTGTTCATTACTATTGATTCGGATATAAACCTGGTTAACCCAGCAGTGTGGTTCTGCGAATCCGTTAGGTGACTTAGATTGACGATGAGTAAGCAGGTTATATAATACAGAATTCAATAACTACGAGCTTTATTGCGAAGAATATGATAGACAAGATCAAATAGAAGGTAGATGATACTAATTGTAGGTACCTAGTTAGGTATCTTGTGACATACCCTTGTTGAAGGACACAAGTTGTGAATTTGGGTTTTCATTTTGACGTCCTAATACCCCCCCCCCCCTTAATTGGATGGTGGATAGGGGCTAATACATTCATTTCTCTTCCTGTGCCTAATATCGAATCACCTTGGTTTATGCCTAGATAGCAAATTTCATTTGCCCATCAAATGTGAAGCTTGTGAAGAGTACTTAGATCAGGTTAGGTTCCTGCACTCGCAATTATATATCAATTACTTGGGGCATATAAGGTAATAATGGACACCTATGATACTTTCATTGGTATGTTTCCTCATGCTACGTTACCGGACTCTCCCGTTAACATTAAGAGCCAAGTCATATCTAGGTAGTCATTAGGCAGAGAGGCTGATGCAAATGAAACTAGACCACACTACGATAATAAACTCATAGTCACCTGCTGAACGAGCAATAGTAGAGAATGGAAGAATCTTTTTATAAGTGAATGTTCCAAGTACAAAACCTTCGGTTTGTTGCAGACCCAAGTGTTCCCGTTCTAAGGCCTACCGAGCTTCTAGCCCTAGGGTTAATAACCTAAGCTAGTAGCACACCCGACGTCTTGGCACAGTCAGACATGCACGGCCGCGTAGTGTAGTGGTTAGCACGTAGGATTTGTAAGTTCTTCTTCAAAACAATCTCTTCTTGAGTATTCATTCTAACAACTCTCAGTGATTCAAACCAAGCTTTCCTGAGACCTGAGTTAAATCCTCGGCGGGGCCTTCATTTTTGTACATTTTTGCCATTTCTCCTGAAACTCTTATGTTTGATTGGGATAGTTAAGCTGTCGCCTCTAGCATGGGCACTCTTAGGCACTGCAACCACTTGATAGTTTCATGACTTTATCGAGAAACTGTTCCGCGTAGTAGTCATTACCAACTTCGTCGTCCGGGAGCTCACAGGTGAGCAGTGTTCTCACGGCACTCTGATACTTCTGCCCCATCCTCCATCCAAGATCAACGAGGGCCTTGTTTAACATGTAATCTCGCCATCCGTCTCGGTCGTTTGGTCCTGGCTTTGACCTGAGGTCCGATAATAAGCCCCAGCGCCTAATTCCACACGAAACAACTCCCAAGCTATAAAGATCTTTCCTTTTTGTGAACCGATTCTCGATGTCGAGATGATAGTAATACTGTATTCCCAATTTTTGAGGGGGCTATACGCTAGAGAGCTTTATCCCTGGGGACGAGAATACTGAAACCCAGAGATAAATGGCTGCGTAATGTCGATTCGCCCACAACTCTTCTGAAAGAAAAAGATACTGCCAGTGTGAAACCCTTTATGCAGCCACTTCGCTGCATGGAAACAACTGAATGCGCATGCGAGCACGTACGCAAGATGGAACCGATCTCCTAGCAACGGTATTTGGGTTTGCTGGCTTCTTATTAGATCGCTGAGCCGGATTGGGGGATGCGTGTAAATATCTCTTTCATATTTAAAAGGCATGCCGCCGCTAACATAGCCCAAAAACATATCCGATCTTCTTTTGACTGTCTCCACTGGATGCATCGTGGAAGATACCGTAACAGGGTGGCAGTCGTAAATCCGGCTCACTCACTTCCTGTAGGATATAACCCAAAGAGTTGATGCGGTCGGAATATCTCTGCGCGTCAGGACCAACGTCAAAAGTGTTCCATTCGATCCGAACCATGGTCTTCGTCGCATCAGGCCGTTTTAGCCTAGCAATGCCTTTCGTGGAACTTAACATCTCTAGTTCGTTCCTTGTGATCCGGGTAGCGGAGCCCTTTAGATCCAAATAGCTACCTACTCACCAGAGGGGATTCTACCGCTGCACCTTGCTTCCGGTTATCACCCGGAATTAGCTAAGCTACTGATAGGAAAAGGGGCGTATTTCGATTTGGCACACAAGGCCTACCTCATTTCACAAATGACAACACTGGAAGATTACTCGGTGAGTGGTACTGAACTAGCTATAGGTGCATAGGTATCCAAACGACAATATCGCGGAGAAAGATTTTACAGCTTGCAGTGAGGCATAACAAAGCCATGCAAAGTGCTGTCAGGTGTTCTAAAATTGGCCGGTTTGGAGAACGACCTAAACATGTTAGCGCAGTAAAAAGTTATCAGGGGCTAGGGGTCAGAGTAAGTACTGGCTAGGGAGCGAGTTTAGGTTTGAATAGAAGCGAAGCTTGTAAGGGGCACGGAATACTGTAAGACTATGAGAGTGGAAGGTTAGGATAAAGTCTGTGCTACTTTAATAACCCTGTTCCTTAAATACCTTACCTAAGGTATAGTTTGCCGCACATCGCCCCCATGCTGAAATGTTGAAACTCAAGTTTCCCAACACCATATATCAACAATAATATACAAATATAATTCTAAGAGCTATATATATCTACCTCGTACTGAATTACTGGGAGCGACCGCTATTCATAAGATTTTCAGTCTATCAGACCACCGACGAATCCCTCCAGCAAGCACCATCCTTTGAGGCCCGTCGGAGATAATAAACCATCGAAAATGGGTTTATCATCGCTATTTACGAAACTTAGAACCCGTCTGTACCAAAAGCTCATCCTGAGGACCATACCACAGCCACCTAAATCTCCCCGACATATTCGCAATATTGTTCCAATACAGCCAGTCCAAGATGAAATTGCGGAGATCTCTAAGGCTTGTGTCGAGGTGCGCTCTGCTGTCAACGTCGCTCTACGAAGGGTCATTGAAATCGAAGCCGGCACCTCAGGTACTAGGAAGGTAGCACAATTAACAGCTGATAGAATATCCGAATGGCTCAGTAACTTCACCGAGTACTTCAATGATGAAGTAGATGAGATAGCCCGGGGTTATAATCTGGATTGGACCTCCAATCGAATCAAAACTTCGCGGCGCCTCAAGAGCATCCTTAAATCCATGATTCGACACCGCGATCGCAAGTCTTCGGCCGTCTCCATGTATATCAGTTATATGGCCAAAGTCGAGTTCGACAACTTACAGAGAAAGATGATCCGCAGAGCCATCGAGGGCGCCGACGCAGACATTACCAACGCAGTTTCAGACACCCTCATTTCACATATGGATACCTCGCCACTGGATAGGAAGTCCCTTCGGTTCATCCGGGAGCTTGCTGTGGCCTTGACAGAAGCGGCTTCTCAAGAAGCCAAGATTGTGGCGGATGCTACAAAGCTCGATGATTTAGTACGCCATGCCTCAAGTAATCTGGATCTCACGGAATTCTAGGGTTACTGTTTTCTTACTCTAGGTAGCTAAGAGGTACTAACGAGCGGTCCAACTACGTCATTAGGCACCTAAGGAAGTTTTTAGTTCAGAACTGTTGTTACATTTATTCGTGTACGTGCTTCCTCGAGTACCCGGGTACATGAATAGTAGCTGATTACGTAATCTCGAGAAAAGGAGGGTTGATGTGACAAGAATTTGTAAATCAAGAGAACGATTTGGATTAATGGCACGACCATATTTGAAACGCTAGTATAAAATGTTTCCTCTGGTTTCAATGTTCTATTGTACGAGTAGCGAACTATTCTATTGATGTTTAAGCTCCGCAAGCTGAGACTAATTACCTATACATGCGCCAAGTATCAACAATAGTATAGGTACCTAGCCGACGTGATGGACATCAATGATTATTACCTAGGTAGATATTCATTCATATTGTTCTATAACTGACGATACGTTAAACTTCCACTTATTAACGAAGAAAGCATTTAGCTATGCAGAGGATGCGTGTATTAGGTTTAAAGGGGCGTATGCGTTAATTGAACTATGTCAAGTCGTATTGCTCTCTGAGCCAGTCCCACTTGATATACACCACCTTTTAATCGTGGTCCAGCAGCCTTTCATCCAAGCCTTGTATGGTGTACTCCGAGCTATGATATCCACCTGCCCTTAACAGCAGTAGCCTGGGAATTGGGAGTTGTGGTTGGCAATAATGCCCCACGGAGGGTCACATCCATGGAGACCGGCGTTCAAATTATCTTGGTTGAGCTGATAAATTTTGGCTATAATAGTTTTCCAGTCAGTATGTGAAAGAAAGGACATGTGGGATAAATTACCGTCTCGGCACTGGCAGACTGTTGGTACACAGCAACGGGGCGCTGCGCTACCTGAGGTATTAGCATTTGTTGTTGGTTTTCCTGTTGCTTCTCATACTTACAAGTAGTTGCAGCCGCTGGCAGTCTGACGCTCTTCGAGTTCGGTGTGTGCTTCGGCCAGAGGGCTTGCAAGCACTTGGGCTCCAAGCCCGAGAAGGACAGTAGCTACCGTGCAGAGTTGCATTGTTGTGAGATTGTTCAAAGTTGAGATATAGACGGAAGATACAACGAGCGAGAGAGTAGTTGATGATATCTTCTTAAGCACGGGGTTTTCGTGATACTTATAGGATTCATGAAATAGCTCCCATCTACAAATCACTACAGTTCGATAGCCACTACTAGGCTCTACGAAGCCGAAACTTCATCTAAATGATCGGACCTCGTCCTCATGTCCACTAACGTAGATCAGTAAGACGCTCTCCTAGACCACAAGCCTTTTCTGGTAAAAGCCGCCGCGTGAGTTGTTACAAGCGGGTGTTGTGGTAACCTGTGCTGAGTGAGGAGCCGTTATCTTGGCTCTTACTTCGCCCACAACATAAGGGTATGGGTTCATGCTGACTGAGGTCATAGGATTAACTGTGCCTATCTTTCACATTAGACACTATAGAGTGTTGATTATGATGGTATCGTGGTCTTGGTCTTGGTATAGCTACAGCGTTGCATTGGTGTGGAACTAGACTCTTTCAGCCTATTCGAAGATAGCATCCTTGGCTTATCCATTCTAGAAAATCCTTTTGATAGGTTAGCCTCGCGGTCAATTGAATAGTCTAGACCCGCGAATATGGTATCGCCAAGCGCCAGGCTAACAGCTGTGCCACACGGATTGATTACCGTTTCCAGCTGGTTCTCACGCATCTTACGAGCAGTCGCCGTCAGATCCGTAGGGCTAACCACGTGTATCATGGAGCGAGATATGGTAGGTGTGTCCGTATCAAAAATATGACAGGAGTAAGTTGTAGTGAGGTCGCAAGGGATCCTACCCCTCCATGTCGTCCGCTGCATTCGTATCTACGTCGGCTCTGATGCGGTATCCAGCTTTAGGCCAGATCCTCCGCTTGCCCTCGAATGAATCTGAAAACTAGATGCATCATAGACAGCCTCTCAACCTCAACCTACATTCATTTTCTGCACCTTTCGTTAGAGGAAGACAATGGCGCTTCATGAGCCTGGAGTGAGGGTCATGATGTTACTCCTGACTACCCTTCTAATTGGTATCATACCGACGACATGGAGTCGCGCGATAGGCCCATCATCTGAAGACCTTGCGCTTTCTGCCTTCTCCCTAGACGCAAATCTTGATCTTGGTCAAAATGTTACTGTCCGACACAGCCAACTGAGGAAGAGAGCCCCTAGCGAACAAGCTATCGTTAAAGGCCGCAGACTAGATTGCCTCATGTCAGCCACCGTCGATCATGCAACGCAAATCAATGGTGGCGTGCGCGTGGAAGAAAGCTTTGATGAGTGGAATATCCTCATCACGGACGATAGGGGCCCGGATGATGAGGGGTGGCGGGAGCAGGATGTGACCCCGAAATACCAGTCTTCCGGCATACAAGCCAACTTAGGGGCACTTACTGGTGCAGATCCCGAGGACACAACATATCTGTATTACATTAGCCAAGAGATGGGAACTGTGGATGGAAATACCGT